GTAATGGTTGAGGTTGCGTTTGTGATTATATAAATAAATCGTGGGTGGTAAAGCGGCTTTTGGGCTTCTTGAATTAGTTTCTCGTTCGGAATTTTCGGCGTTTTTCTCATTTTTTTTGGCATTCTCTCCAGCTTCCTGATATATCTGGAGCATATTTTTCATATCTTTTGGGACTAGTTTAATGCTTGATCAGTTATCATTAAAGACTTTTGTGGTACACTCGTGTTACAAATACTTTTTTTATTGTTACTTTGATCTTGTGATCTGTTATTTTTGTGAAGGTAGTTATAGCTGTGCCATCTTACAAGGTTAACTGATCTCGAAGTTACCCATCTTTTTTGTTTTGAAAATAGTTGGCTGTTTTGCTTGACTTTGTCCCAGCTGATTTTGTCATGTTTCCATATTTCGTTAATGTGCATTTAAAGTTATATAATAACTTAGTTTCCTTTGAGTTTTATTCTGTTAAGCGTACTTTTCAAATTTAGGGGGAAATGAGTAGCGTGATGTGCGGTTTTTTACCTTACAATAAGGTATTTATCTTTAACGTTTCAAGCTTTAAAGTAATACGGTGTTTTTGTTGCAGAATCTTATGGGATGAAACTATTGTTTTAATCGCTTTTCATATCAGGCAGTTTCAGGGTTTTAAAATATTATTGGCTGTATATTGTTTACAAGAATGAACGGTCTAACTGTTGCACAAAGTTCAGAAGAAGACGTCAAAGATAAGAGGCGTAAGAAAGAGGAGGCACAATGTTCAGAAAATGTTAGTTACATTTTATGTGTTTTTTCGTTTCATTTCTTCTCACATTTTTGTGTGGACTTTGAGCTACTGTGACATTTTATATGTGGAAGTGTTGTCTGGAAATAAAAAAAATTTGTAAGTATCGTTAACAAAAATTGTAGCGAAAGTATTTAAAGGCGAGTTGTTCGCGGACGGTCGAAAGCATTCAAAACAGTGAAGACGATGCCAAAAATGATTCTTCTCTGAATGGTTCTGAGGTATGGTTTTCTGTTCTGAAATGGTACTTCGCGGTGGGAAATACTCCTTCTGTCCTACAGTAAAATATTAAGGCTTGACTTACAGTGCCGGGAGTGAGTTCTAATTAGAGCTAAATTTAGAGTTGTTATTCTTATGATTATAATGCAATATTGGAAGGTGATCGACCAGACCCATCCGTCATTATGGCGAAAGCGTTGATGGCTGGTGGCATAGCTGAAGACGAAGAATCCTCTAGTGTTTTTGTAAGTTCCATTACGTTTAGTTTTACCTGGTCCCGAATCGGAGGTAAGGGAAGGAAGAATATTTTGTCTCCACAGTCTAGCTTTGAATCATTTAGTCTAGAGTGACATACTAGGAAAGTTTTGCGTTTTGTTTTTTCAGTTGAAGCATGAAAAAGCGAAAGAATGCTATAATAAAATAGTGGAACCGTTAATCAAAGACCGTTTTCAAGCTGCCAACTGGATGCGTGAGAAACGGTTGTTAGTGCAAGGAATGCGTTGTCCAGCCTGTCAGCTTGATATGTTATGGACGAAACATAATAAATGTGGGGATGGTTATTCTTGGAAGTGCCATAACACGAGTTGTGCCCGATATAAGTATACAAAATCTATAAGGAATGGATCTTTATTTCAACGTTCCCATATTTCATTCGGAAAATGGGTAAATGCGATGTATTTATGGGGTATCGACGAGGAGGTTAATATGGCTGCTGTTCGTTCAGATTTGTCTGCTAAGACTATGGTAGATGCCTTCAATTACTTTCGTGAGCTTTGCCAATGGTATTTTGAAGCGCATCCCGTTATGCTTGGCGGTGAAAGCAGAGAATGTGTTGTTGATGTTCTTCCGGCCGTGAGAAAACGTAAACTTGAGGCGATGAAGGACTCGCAGCCTATGCAATATGTTTTAGTAATTACTGATATTAGTTCTAAACCAATTTCTGGATGCCTAGAACTAATTGATAATCTTTTACCAGAAACTATATATTCTCTCATATCGAGGGTTATTTTTAAAGGCACGACGGTTTGGTGCAAAGATCCAGAATCTTTTGAGCGGTTACAGTTGGAAAAAATTCGTAGCGTCAGCAAATCTTTTTCTGGAAAGGAAGATAACGAAACTGTTGGAGACTGGCTACAGTTTAAAAAACTTGATAAGGATAAGAGGGGAAAAGAATATTTGCAATATTGGCACAGATTAAAGACTAGGTTAAAAGGGCTTAGCGCATACAAAGATGATTTCCGTAAAGGGTTTCTTTATGAATTAATGTGGAAGGACCGGTTTACAGAAAACGCTTTAGAAAGTTTATGTGAACATATCGCTGAAAAGTATGCGTTTTAACCTTCATTCGTTGCCTATTTCGTCTGAAGTGTTTTGGACCCAACATTAGGACTCATTCATGATTTATACTTCTTCAGTGAGAATTGTTTTATTTTATTCTTCCCTCCGTTAAGTTGCAATCTTATTTGTACTGTTGTCTTCTGTAGAGAATTGTGTTGAAACTGTGTTGTGTGCAAGTTTGTTATCCATTTCTGTTTTGTGTAACTGAGTTCATTTTGTATGAAAATTGTTTTACACCCGAAACTGCTGTGAAACCTCGTTTGGAACTTTTTCGTTGCATGAGTAGGGCTTTAAAGTTTTTGCGTGTTTTGGAAAGTGGGGTGCAACTTTTATTCTTTATTCATCAGCTGTCAAAAGTACTTCAAAACTTGATTTCATTTGACTTTTGGCGTTTGTTTTTTCTTCCGAAAAAACTTTAGGTGGGATGTTTTGTTCTTTTTTCTTTCGTTTTTACAATCATTACAGTATTTAGAATAGCGAGGCTTTCAGTATCCCAGCTGCCTTTGTAGTCAGTTTAAAGTGTTTTTACCTTGTTTTAAAACTGTTCGAGCATTGTATCGCGTTGTTCACAGAAATCATCGTGTTCCGTTCTGGTTCCAACACCCGCAGGGCATCTGCGGGCTGGAAATCCAGCACTCGTTACAAAGGGTTCTAAATAAACCCAAGCAGTCATAGCAATGGTAGATGCACTTAAGAGCTTGGAACTTTTAACGAGGTGAGGTGATGTCCACAGTTATCTTCAGATGTCATTTGCTCGTTACACGTTTTGCTTGCTGCAACATTCCCCAGTTTCACGGAGCACTGCCTGTTTTATCAATACGCTAATTGGCAATTACAAACAGTTTACGTCCATTTTGGATTGGAACCCGTATATCTGTTTCAGGTTTCTGGTTAGGAAGTTACAGTCATATTCTTTAAATAGAGGCTTTTCGAAATGACTACTGGCCAGACCAACTACTGGGTTATGCAGGCCGGGCAAAGGCCTTCAAGCCAATCGGTACACTGATGAGGAAGCGATTCACGAACATTTCACCCTAATATTCTTTCTTGCTTGAGAACAATTCATGCCTTCGATGAAGTCAAATGCCTGTAACTTGCCGGACAGAAGCCTTTTTTTTGGACCCGAGTCGTCAGTAAGATCCATTATTCGCATCTGTCTCAACCCTGAAGATTGCTGAAGGTGTGGTTTTAGTGGACGATTTCAGTTGTCAAGTAACCGTATACTTCCTGCTGCAGAAGTCTGTGAACAGAAGTGGAACGTTTATGATCCGAGAAAAGAAACAACGCATTGGGATAGAAATCAACAGAACCTCTTGAAAACTCTCACGTAAGGTACTTTGTGGATATAATTTACTTGATAAGAATAGTTACCACGCATAAGCAGCCAAATAGCGGGGCATGTAAATATTTGTGGCAAAGAGTGGCGCTGCAGTTTCATTTATGGCTCATTTTCAGTAACTTTCCTCCTCGTAATGGCAATATTTTTTAACTGCAAATCTAATTTCCCAGGGTAAGCGATTAATAAGTTGCCGTTGTCTTGGAAGATCTAAAGTTCCATGAGTGTGATTAGTTCTTGTTTACAGCAATACTTAGTGTCCATATTCATTTAGTAGAATAGTAACCTTGATTTGCTCCACAACTAGTGCGGAGCTGAAACCGTTGTTTATGATCTCCTCTATTAAATGTTCCATAATGTTGCGGCACGTTGACTGGCTCACAGCACTAGTGACTTCAACGAATACTTCCTCAGTATCCGTTGTAACCTAAAAGTGTTTTAAACTATACAGTCTCAAGTGTAATCAACCCAGTATTCTGGCCTTTGGAAACTAATAGGAGAATGAAAATAAGTGTCAAAGAAAGTAACAAAGTAGTGTTGCAGGAGAACAATATTAGTCTTCCTGAATCTAACACTAACACGTAACTTACTTTTGTGTTCTCCGAATTTGTTATGGGAGCGAACGACAGGACATTATCACAAGCATCAACAATGCAGGGAAGTCTTGGGAGCTTCTCAGCCATATATAAATACCTTGAAATAATTCTCAGTCTGATTTTTTTTTATTGTTCTGTATTGGTTGTATTGGTCTTCCATAAACTTCAGAACGTGAGTTAATTTCTGCAAGTTCTGGGGTTTCAGTTTCGGTCGAAATACTCGTTTTCCCCTTAAGACCAACCACTATACTTTTAGAATATCTTTTAATATTATTAGTGAAAACCAAGGCAACAATGAAAACAACTTGTGCATTGAAGAAAACGAATTGCGTTTCTGCTTCTTCCTTTGTCGTTCAGCTTCTGCCATTAGGCTTGAAAGTAACTGTCGTCCAGTCACAGATGCTTTCATATGCAGTGGTGTGATCAAAAATAGAAAGGTACAGCGAATAAGTCTGGATGGGGCAGAAATTACTGAGGAAAATTAAAAAATTCTACTGAAACTTTTAAACAGTTGATAACAAAACGCTTAAAGTTACTTTCAGCTCATCTGGCTCCAATGCAGTGTACTTTAATGGAAAATATATTGCTTTAAAATCGTGTGTGCCTATCGTTCCCGAATTTCTATGATCACAGATAGTGTCATGCAGTCTGTTCTGCAATACAAAAAGCTTTGAAAACTAAGAAAATTCTGTAGTTTTTAACATTGAGGTCCTCTTGAAAACCAGTTATTTCGAGATACGTATTATTCCATAATAAAAAAGAAACAAGTTGACCTAAGAAAATTAAGAAGTGAACTGGAAAACCTGAATGCTGAAGAATAACTTCAATTTTTCTGCATCGAACATCACATTGCGTAATAAACAGCATGCTATATGAGGCCGTATTTCAACAACCGGCTCCATCCTCGTAACAGATACCTTAATTTAATAGGAATCACTGAGTAAAAATCGAAGCAAATTACCTCTGTGATGTAATGGAGAAACCTTGTCAGATCCAAAACGAATTTCCAGATTTAGAACGCCAGTGCTACACAGCTTGTCCGATAAACTACCACCCGAATCCTCTTTATTTTTCACGTTTTCAGAAGACCTGAGTTCCCTCTTCAAATAATCGACCATCGAAGGAGCCAAATGTCTTTTATCCTCCGTTAGTTTTTGAAACCGCTTATTTGCGAACCTACAAGGCAAAGAAAGATGCGAAATATGAATAAGTGAAAAAAAAAATTGTAGAACATTAGCGAGATAAATCAGTAAAAAGTGATAGGTTGTAAAAAATGCAAACAAATATAGCACCAAGAAAGCGACAACCTATTTGAATGCAGACTAAGCACTTTTAACTTCGGAAGGAAAGCCAGTGGCAGCGGTAGTTCACTAAGATTATTCTCAGACAAATCTAGTGTTTTTAGGTGGCCACCAATCTCTTTAATAAAATTGGGAATGCTCTCAATTTTATTCCTGCTCAGCAGTAAAGTTTGAAGTTTCGAAGTTACGGTTGGTAAGCCTGTTGGAAAGACCGATATCGCATTGTGAGACAAATCAAGTACTTGTAATGAACACAATTCCGACAAATCGGGGAGATCTTGTATCTGTAAACTTTCGACAAAAAATCACAAAATTTGCCACAATAATTTCGCTAGTCAGCCGATTTTTTAAAGAGGTATCTAATTGCTGACTCATAAATAAGAAAATATAACAATGAGTTGTCGACCTCTTACCTTATTATGGGAAAGGTTCAAAGAAGAAAGGCATTTCAACAGGTTTATGCTTTGCGGGAGATTATGGATCTGGTTCGTAGACAAGTCCAATACTTTCAAATTACTTAATGTTCCAATTTCTTCAGGGATTTCTTTTAACTTATTTGACCGAAGGATAAGACTAGACAGGCGACCAAGATTTGAAACTGACGGGAATAAAGTAGTAAGACTGACTTGCGAAAGGTCAATAAAATTCAGAGGCGACCCCTTAAATTATGCAAATTTTTTTAAACCACGGCGAGCAGTAAGGGCCGACTGATATGGGAGACAATAATAATAAAAATCATGAAAATAATAATAATAACAATAACAATACAACTACTACTAATAACAATAATAATAATAATGATAATAACAATAATAATAATAAAGTAATAATAATGATAATAACAATAAAAATAATGCTAACCTTTCGAAAAAGACAACTTTGAAGAGCCTCGCTGTTTACGCTAGGTGTGCGTTGGTCCAGATTTTGGTTGACTATAACCAGTTCACAACGCTTTTCCACAAACGTTCGACTTAATTCCGGCCAATTTACTAGGTATTCTTCTTCAGAAATGTTAATAGTCTTCTCTCCCATCCTGTAAGTTAAGCCACCGTTAAAGACAAATTACGAACACCTACCTTCCAGCTCAATTTTGGCTTAAATATATACTTTTAAAAACAGTATCAAAGCAAATCTCCAGAAGTTAACTACCAAGGCTGAATTAAATACCACTATGCAGATACAGAGAAAAGAAACTTCCGCATTTGTGTCGCGTGAAAACTATTATTACACCAAGTTAACAACTCAATCTCAGTCTTAAACAAGCATTAAGCTGCAAATATACAATGGGAGAACGCTACCAATCTCATTTTGTACAGCAACTAGATTCGAAAAGTTTGATTAAACTTCACTCAACATAGACACCCTAACTAGTGTTAGTATAATAAGTGAAGCCTGTCCGCAGTTTGTTCACATGTCATTCTGGCGCACATCATAAATGCCCAAAACATCCCTCTTCAAAAGTTTATTCTAAAATTCCTTGAAGAAAAATCAACCAATACAAAACTTTGAGACAAACAGCTAGTGCATTACCAGAATCCAGTATGAAGCAGAGAGCAAAAAACTTTGCAATGTATAAAATTCTTAAAAAATCCTTGACTTTCAAGAACACACTGGAGTTCTGCCCTGTGGAAATAAAAGGTTCTCAGCCTCGTTAAACCATTCTGATTTCAGTACTATGTTGCTATTGTCAATTACTAATTTAAGTCTTGCTATTTGCTGCAATACACCTTGTATTAGTATATTAAAAAAGAGAGAAAATGCAAGACATTCAACACTAGAACTACAATTCCAAAAAATGTGTACTTTATTAAAAAAAAAAAGTTCCAAAGGAGACGAGCTAAAAAAGCTAAAGCTGCCAAATTAATCATTCTGGCTTGTTTCCTTCTGGCTTTTCCCCCTCATAAAACTGATTCACCAATCTATTGTTCCGAAAATCATTTTTTCGACGTTTAAGAAGAATATCACAAGCTATCTGGCTGTAATATGTAGAAATTTATTATATACTTCGCATTCCAAAACAGACATTTTAAAAAACCACGTAATTTTAAACTTGTTTAATCTACCAACTCAAATTTTCTAATAAGAACAAAGCATACTTCTTTTAAAAAACGCCTCCATTAACACTGAAGCCTCGAATGAAACCTTGAAAGATGCATCTACAAACCTTGGCCTCTTTTTTACTGAACTTTAGCCATCAGGCATGTTTAAAAAGCAAGAAACGACAAGAAAGACGCGACAACGAAAAAAGAATGGCTTGCTTCTATCATTAAATTCTCATTCAAACTGCAGTCGCCTTAGTTCCGTAGGAAGATCAGCCTCGTTCCTTTTTTGGCTCGCGAAGCCATATTCGCTCTATGACGGTTTGAAGTTATCGCAACACCCACTCAGTTTCATCTTCCTCTGAAGTCCCATAAGTGTATTTCATGGCTGTGCATATGTTGGTAGGACAGAAACAATACTGAATACTCTTCCACCTATTTCAGAGCGTAATGCGCGGAAACTAAAGCACACATTTTTCCCTTCATAAAAGAAAAAAAAAAAAAAATCCGCGCATTTAAACTAAAGCAACAACACAGCCGGTATGGACAAACTAAACTAATGAGGTACCACAGCCAGCACACTAGCAAATGTATAATGTAGGAACACTTCCTCTACCATAGCATATAAAAAATTGTAAACCGTAAAGGAATAGAAATCAAACGAATTCCTAAATAAAGCAAAAGCACATTTGAGCTTGAAAAACTTTAAAAGAATGATTTCTCTCATTCATCAGCTACGCAGACATGCTCCCTTGCCTTAAAAGTTTAACCTATCCCTAAATCAATTTTAAAATTAACTGTCAGTCTCCTGAAAAACTGAAAACACTGACCGCATCCAATCCAGAACAGCAGCAACCCCTTCTCAAGACAATCAGACAACCTCCAACAGTTCTTCATTACTGGGGCACTTTCATAGAGAATTACCTTTATACAAGACGTTCAAAACT